AAGGGGGGCGTGAGGGGGAAGGAGGCTACGACCTGGCTGCTGCGGAGGTGGCGAGAGATTTATGTTTGCTGGGGGGGGTTTGCTTGGGAGGGTGCAGGAGGAAGGAGGCGAGGCGGGGGGTTACGCTGAAGCACAGAGGGTCGTTTTATTTCATTTCGTTTGTTTTTATTTTATCCTTTCTCCTCCTCCTGCTGCTCGGAGGGGAAGGGAAGACAAAAAGCTGAACCGGTGCCAAGAAGGAGCTGCAGCACCTCGCGAGCGGCGTTCTGCGCCGCGCTAATATTTTGCACCAGGCCGGCTCTCGAGGAACGTGCCGGGAATGCAAATGGCTCCGGCCATGGGGCCGCCTTCGAGCCCCGGCCCCCTACACCGAGTCAGTCGCCCACGCTTAGGGATTCCAGGATGGGGACAGGGGATCCTGCTGGGTAGCTTTGCACTGGCCGAAATCCGCCAGGATGCACTGAGCATCGCCACCGTCTTGCCTGCTTTTGCAACCCATTTTGTACCCCTTGCCCACCTTGTGTTTGACACTGCAAACCTTAACATGCCCAAAGATGTCTGTCCAGTGGGATGCTTAGGCCTGCTGCATCGGGCATTGCTTGGGGAAGGGGGGAGAGGAGGAAGAGGAGGGCAGGAGGGGACCTTCAGCCCCTCGCAGCCCCTCTCCTAAGCGGCCACTGCAGCAAAGCTACCTGGTCAGAAATGCTGATTAAAAATCTTATGGATTGAAAGCAGGTAATGGAGAAGGAGGGTGGTATGCTGAACTCCTGCCCACTCTTCCCTTTGTCTCCATATTGGGGAGGGTATTTACTTTTATTTTTTTTATCCCCTTCCTACGGAGGAAAGGAAGATTTGATTCCCATGGAGTTTTCTGATTGCTTTCCCATTGCTGCTCCTTCCCCGCCTCCCTGCTGTCCTCCTCCTCCTCCTCCTCCTCTCTCCATACCCAGCAGGCTGCTCTCATGGCTCCGGAGCCTGATGCAAGGTGACTTGGAGGACGCAGAGAGCTCGGCAAGGTGCAGCGCGGCCGGCGCTGTGTTCCCTTCCCTGCCCGCGCGCCGTGGGAGGGGGCACCGGGCGGCCGCGGTTTGCATTGCAAAAAGCCCTTTTCCTGCAAAGCTTGCCTGGAAAAAGAAAAAAAAAAGAAATATATACACACATATGTATTATTATTATATATGTATATTTATGGGTGAAGCTTTGACAGCGGTGCACAAGGCTGCTTAATTCACAGGGGCTGACGTTTTGCTGTGATCATCTGGTTTTGCACCGTGGTGGTCCTCTCTTCCCTCCATTTTGTCCTGGCTATAGCATCAAAGATGCATGATTTTTTTTTTTCAATTTGTGTTTTTTGTTTTGGAGGGGGGCTCCCCATTTTAATATGCAAAATGCAAATACAAAACTTGGAGGTGAATGCTAAGCTCCCTGCGGCCCCTCGCACATACTTCTTCTTGCATCACATCAGAGCTTAAAGTTTTACATAGATTGGAGCCTGAGAGGTAAAACCCTCACTTCGGGTTCTGAGCATAGGCCCAGGTGCTCCTTCTTCAGCTTTCTCGAGTCGCTTCAAGAAGACCTTTTTCTAAGCCTGACATTAGCTCGCTGGGACTTAGAAGCTGGTAGCTTGGCCCAGTTTGTGTCCCCTGGGGTGGCATGACCCTTCCAACCTCTCTCTCACCTGAAAACCTTGGGTATAACCAGAATAGTAGTAGCTGAAGCTGGGAGAGGAGATGCTCTTGCCTCTTCCAGCTCTTCTTGCTGTGTCAGAAGGGAGAGAGAAGTGCTTAGCCTGAGAAGCCTTGGGAAGATTGAGAAAACCATGGCAAATGTTCACGAGAGGATTGGTCAGATGGCTCGGAGTAATCGTCATGCTGTAGCTTCCAGAGGCTCCCACCCCTCTTGGCAAATACAGAGCTGGTGTTTGTGTGCACACACGCGTGCCCTTGCCGCCTGCTTTGCAGCTCCCTCCCTGGACACGCTGAGATGAACTGCCATCCTCACCCCGGGCACACCATGCAGACCTTGCCTGAATTTCCCAGAAACTCTTTACTGATGGTTTTGGCTGCTGCTGCCTCTCAGCCTCCTCTTTTTAACCCGAGCTCCCTGCCCACTGAATGCCAACCCCTAAAATGAGTGCCGGCCGTGGGCATCGAAGGCCACATCAAAGTGAGCAGAGACCCTGCCAGCTCTCCTAACCCCTCATGCACCTGCACGGGATGCGGTTCACCCTTTTAGATGTGGAGCCAACTGGTATTTACTGCTGATTTAAGCCTTTTAATACTCCACTGACCAAATAATAATCCTCCCTACAAAATTACAATGAGGATCTCAAAGATGTGGACAAACACGAAGGTAAACCGCGGGCCTCCAGCAAAGGAGCATTGCGTTGCTTGTTGTCCAAGAAGGTAGAGTGAGGCCAGCACATGAAGTCACCTTCCTACTACTTGCTATTTCAGAAAACAGCTCCCTTTCATTTCCTTGATGTCTTGGAAAGGACATGAGGGAAAAAGGGGACTTGTGTACGTCCGTTAGGTTCCAACCATGTTGAGATACCTCTTTATCTTGGGATGAAGATGCTTCTCCTGTATTCTGAGCAGTCCAAGTGAGCCATCTAGACAGCATGAACATAGTTCCCAACAAGTATTGTAACATACTGACTGCAGCTGAATATTTTTGTCTCTATTTTTCCCCATAGCAAATAGGTGTTTTGGGGTGTATTTCCCTCAGCTGTGATGTCTGGTGGATCTCAAGTTTCTTCTTTCAGACTCCTTTTTAGCACTGTATAATGAGAAATGTTGCCTGCTTTGGATTGGTATGAGATGACTAGTGTCTGGAATGGTTAATCTGGAAAAGTCTTGGAAGGCCATCTTCTCCCCAGCCTTTCTCCTCTTATTTATTTATTTATTTATTTATTTATTTATTTATTTATTTATTTATTTATTTATTGGTTCAGTGGCCTCAAATTTCTGTAATCTAAATGGGCAAATGCTTTTCAGTCACGGTCCAGTAGCTGGGTTAATCTCAGACCCCTGGAGTGGCAGATGGCTGATTTGTTGCTGATTCGAGTTGCAGAACACCGTGCCACCTATTATCTTTGCACAGGCTGCTGCTTAAAAGGATGCCTTGGGCTAAACCAGTGAAAAGCAAAGCAAAGCAAATGATGATCTGCATCAGCACAGGTGAAAATGTAAAATATTTCACCTTTGTGCAAAGGCCTCAAAAAGGTGGACAAGGAGGGGATAGGAGGTGAGAAGGGAGAAGGGGTGAGGGAATGATCTTGTTTTCATACCAGAAGGGCTGAAGCAGAGGACAGGGAGGATTTGCCACGGTCGTGATGCTGAATCACTGCCACTTACCCTGTCTTAAATGGTTTTTGAAATGCGATAATCCTGGACTTTGATCCTTAAACAAAACAAACCGATTGGCATCGTGTGGCACCTTCCTGTTCTTCCCAAGTCTTTCCAGAACAAGTTGTCATGGGAATGCATGACTCAACTCCCTGTGCCATGGCCCCTTCTCTGCCACTGCTATTGGGGATGAGAAACCTCATGGAGAACCTGAGGGGACCTTCCAAAAGGGAGGCAGATGGGTGCCAACACCGGCACTGCTTCCTTGTCAGACCATGGTGGACATGCTGGAGTTCGGTGGGAGGAAGAAGGTGGGATGCAATGGCAAAAGGCAGAAAAAAACCTTTGGCTGCTTGTGACTGTTTTCTGCTCCCCTAACCAAGACTCTTTTCTCTTTGCCCTGGGCATGGTTGCAGAATCAGATGAAGAACTTGGGAAGAGAGTGTGGGTTCCCCGTGCAGAATCCAGTGCCGAAATCTATAAGCAAGGTAAGACCAGAGATGATGGCTGGGAATGTTTGGCTTTCTTCCTTTCCCCACTCCAAATCCATTACTGCGGTAGTCAACACAAAATTTAGGATGTGCGGTTGGTATTCCAAGAGTGAAGGGTCTGAGAAGATCTGAGAAGGTCTGAGAAGTTAAATAGTACTTCTTAATGCCTGCCACTAGGATTACTTTGTTTTTAGAAGAGTTTATGTTGTATCCAAATGATACAGCAGCTCCTCAAGGTGCCTTTGACTCTGAAGGCTCTCCTCTTCATCTTCACTGTCTTCACTTGGCATCACCCCCTGTTAAGAAGACATTATCTGGTTCCCTTTGTTCAGAAAAGAGAAGCTCCTGGGCTGCTAACCTTATTCCAGATTGCACAAGTTTCTCCATTTCCAAGTTTCCAATGGAAATAGGAGGAGAAATGCCAAAGCAACAAGCAGCCTAAGGAAAAAAAAAAAAAAAAAACAGAATGATGCCAGAGAAAGCCCTATGAAGGTTAGGACAGGCTAATTTTGAAGGAGTGTCACCTAGGCAATCCAGGATTCTTCAAAAGCCCATTAAAAAGATAATGTTACTGTGTTTTTTTCATATGCAGATAAAATAGAGTGGGATCTGTACTGGTTTTGTTTGGATTTCTTCCTCTTAGGATGTGGGGAAGGGTGAAAGTTTGGTGCGGGGCTGTTTTAGTTATGTCTTGCTTTTGAATATTTAGCTCAGTCTGGACCAGCATGCTTTCCAGGGCTTTCTGTTCATTTTATTTTACAGGAGAAAAAAAAATGCCTGATGTTTTAAACATGGATACAGAAAATACCCTTTATTTCAGAATTTCTCTCCAAACACATAACTTCCTTCCATCTTCAATTGTCCTGCCTCATTCTTTTACTCCCATCATTCCCAAAGTCAGCAAACTTCAACATATAATTGTATGCCATTTTCTGTTGGGACAAACTTTAATGATTGCTTGAAGGTCTTTTTTTTTCCTTTTTTTCCCCCCCTTTTTCTCCCCCCGCTGCCTGCCAGATGAGAGGCGTTATTTAGTTTCCCTGCAAAAAGCCAGTTCCCTGCGCAGTGATTTTGTTTATGATAATTTACTTGCCTGTTCCCTTCCAGGAATTGTCACTGCCTTCCAGAAGGGAGGTTAGCGCTGGTCCCCTCGCAGTGATAATTATAATCAGACCTGTCAGCCTTCACACAGTCTACGCTTATCACTTGCATTTAGGAGGATTTTTCCTGAAGCCTATTACCACTGCTGCTTCTTAGGGAAAAATAGTCATGATTTTCCAGCTAATCTTTGATGGCTCTCAGCTTTGAAAGCCAGGCGAGTAGCAAAACGACTGCCAGTTGCAGTCAGAGTAGAGAGCTCTGCATCTAGGGGAAAAAAAAAGGGGAGAGGGAATTGAGGAAAAACTGGTGGGGTTTTGGCAAGTCCTCAGCTGTTCAGAGGGCTCAGTGCAGTTGGGCTTTCCCAACCATCCAGGGAACCACCACATTCGCTAATGGATTCATTGGCACTGGAGTATAAACCTGACCTGTTGAAGTCCTTCCTTCTGGGCCAAAGTGATTGTTTCTGTTAGGATGTGATTCAGTGTTTTTTTTCCCTGTCATCCAATGGACCATGTTTGCAAATGGTCCATCCCTATGTTCCTCCTCACAAGTCACAATTTTCTAGACTTCTCCTTTTTTCATTCTATTTGTCCTATTATTAAACAATCTGTCTCTCTGCTGGGTTTGCTAACTTAAAAAAAAAAAAAAAGGAAAATATATAGCATTTCACTCTATCACCATGCTCTTATTAATGTTCTCATGCTCCCTTGATTTTGACAGACCTAGAGGACAGTGAGGACTTCACAGGTTCTGCACCAAAAGAAATGTTAGGACAGCGAGAACTCTAGTGCTCTCTGGGATCGTGTATTCACAGTGTGCAGAGATATGATTTGCCTTCCTTTTATTTAAATTCACCAAGAACTAGTGATTTATTTATCAGGTGTCACTCCCTGAAAGAAGATAAATGCCATATAGCAAAGACTTAATCTATTATACAAATAGATTTGAAGGCTGCTTCTATTGCATTTCTCTGGCTCTTGTACGAGAGTGAAAAAGCCTGCGGCTGAGCAGGGGCAGAATGATACTTAGCAACAGCATCTTATGACCTTTTGATCAGCTGAGATCTCAAGCCATATTAGTGGACAGATTATGATGTGATGGAAAGAGGTCCAGGAATAGCCTTTTTATCGTGAGAGCCTTCCTGCAAATATCCTCCTTCAGTATATTCAGGTGGTTAATCACTGGGGCCTGGAGGATGATTTTCAAACAAGGAGGTGAATTATTGACACGGACAACCCAAACATGTTTGAGTGTGCCAGCTCCGTTTGGGAAGTGCAGCTCCTGGATTTTCCCTGGTACTCTCCTATCCTCCTCTTTCTATTTGGAATATGGGTGACATTGCAATATTTTGTAGCACTAATTACCACATTTTGGCAGAAAGCTCTGCAGAAAATGGACCCAGACTCCTTGGACTGCACAGGAGCTGCAGTCCCTGAATCCAAGAGATGCACATGGTGAATATGGATATTTGTTTAAAAAGGGAAATGCTCACATGGAAATGCCTGTGTAGCATTTTTCTGATAATAACAAGAATGTTTCAACCTGTCTGAACACTGTTTAGAGAAAAGATAGGCTTTAAAAATTGGACAGTTCTGGTTGATTGATAGGAATGTTTTTTATGGAGTCTCAAATCCTGTCAAGCAGAAGCCAGCCTACCTTTTGCATTGACCTTGCCCACCCGCCTATGCTTAAACTTTGTTGTAGGTTCAAACTAACCTCCTCTTTACCTTAATGATCAATATGAATTTTCAGTCCCCTTGAAAAATGGATGTAAAAGAACATTCTTTCATTGCCAAGTCTGCACTTCAGTGATGGCTGAGCTCAGTTTCAGCTGCCAGAGCCACTTCTGTTGAGGACAGACACACTGCTGCTCGTGCATCCTGCGCTAAGTGGCTTCAGGTGCACGTGAGCATGCAAACATCAGCCCGTGCCTCTTGGGTACCTGCTTGCATGGGGATATCTGAGTTACAAGGTGTCATGTTATGTTCAGTGCAAAAGCTCAAAGAGCTGATTAGTTGCCCAGAGCAAATCCCAAATGGATGGGGCTGCAAATGGGGATGCTGGTGCACCGGGTCTGCAGAACAATAGCCACCACAGCCCTCTGGAAGCTCTTTGAAAATACGAAGGTTATGGAGGTGGAGAAAACGCACAGCAGGACATTGGCTCCTGTTATCTCCCCCAGCCTCTTCAATCAGGTGCCTGCTGGGCTTCCCACTCCTCCTGCCTTTTGCACTAGATCATAGGATCGTAAGACATTAGACTGCTGGCATTAAGTCATTCTCCTGGCATTATTTCTCCCTGAGTCAGGAAGTTGCAAAGAAATATTGAAACGGGGAGCACACATGATGCTTTCAACTGCAGCTGGCTACAGAGGCATCCAAGGAGGGATTACAAGGATGCACCAGGTGCCTGACATGGTGTTTCCATCACCTTTCCCTTAGGAAATGCAGGGGTTTTGTTGACAGATGACACTGGGAGGCTCACAAGAAAAGTGGTTCAAAGATGCAGGTTCCTTTTCCATCAGGATATGGGAGCTGCTCACATTGCTGGCCCTTCTGCCAGGTGTGCCTGGCCTGTACACGCTTCCTCTCACAGTGAGCACTTGTGTTCAGTGCCTTATGGTGCACAGGGACTGTGGAAATGGGCTCAGCTGCTCTGAGCCCTTGTCTGGCAGCAAAGTCTATGTAGGACGGAGATGCAGGTTCCTCCAGTGTTGTGTGGTTGAAGCGCGTGGTGGCTGTTTGTGGCAGGACATCTGTTTTGGGCCTTGCAATGTTAAGCTTCATGTGTTGAATATGGTGTGAAAATGTGCAGAGAGCAGTTACTTTCTGCTCTCTTACTGAGTAGGACTGATATGAAACAGTGAAAGAGTATTGTTATAACTAAATTTAGAGTCATACAAGTCTCTTCATATCACCGGAAAGTGGTGATCTTGGGCAGGAGAAGGGGAAGATGGACATTTACGCCATTCAGATATCTAGGTTTATATCTGGTTTATGGGTGTAAGTTGAAACATAGGAAGTTTAATCTCCATATGAAGAAGAACTTCTTTCCTATGAGAGTGCCAGAGCCCTGGCACAGGCTGCCCAGAGAGGCTGTGGAGGCTCCTTCTCTGGAGATCTTCAAACCCACCTGGATGCCGCCCTGTGCCCCTGCTCTGGGTGTCCCTGCTGGTGCAGGGGTTGGACTAGATGCTCTGGTCCCTTCCAACCCTAAGCATTCTGTGATTCTGTGGCTTAGGCCAATTAAATAATGTCTGGGAATGTTGCTTGGCATGGGAGCGTGGCTGGGTATACTCAAACTACTAGTCCAGTTCTTGGCTCTCTTTTGGATCATGACAACTAACACACTCCTAAACCGTTCCTGAGCATGGATTAGTGTTCATCCCAGGAAGTTGTTTGCATTTAGCCACTCTGTCAGGGAAGCTAAGCCATGGGTTGCTAGCAGAGATAGGAACCATCTGTGCCAGTTGGCCTCTATGCCTAGGAACATTTCCGGGCATGTTTAATTTATTAGTGGCTGGAGAGGCTCAGGCCCAACTGAGAAACTGAACTCCGTCCTCCTAAACTCCATTAGTCATCAACGGAGAGAGGAGGGCACCATCCCAGGTTGGCTGAGGCTGTCTAGATCCTGACCTGTATAAATGGGTCAAAAATACAGGCAAGGCTCGAAGTGCTGATAGCAGAAATTCAACCATAATATTGTTATCCTGGGAGAGACTATATTTCTATTTTGTTGAGCATCTCTGACAGCAAGCAACATCAGAGAGTGCAGAATTAGTTGTGAAATTCCATCAGTACCTAACTGGAAGGAACACATCAGAATAAGGGGAAATACTTCACCAGGTCTTCTCAGCAGACCTCTAGCCAGTGCGTCTCTTAGCTCTAGTTTTGCCT